CGGCTGTGTGACAAAATGAAATTTAGCAAGTGATTCTTTTTGTGTCAATATATCTCCAGGCTGGGAAAGGCTTTACCTGCCAAATTTCTGCCTGTCACACACTTGCTATGCATACAAGAGTTAAGCTAGTAAATAACTTGACAATACTATAAAGGACGTATACTGTATGCCTCTCTCTGTGAATGAACAGAAGCAGTCAATCTGTCATCTCCCCTTACACTTTGGATTTCACACAGTGCCAATGAATCATCACTGTCCATGCCAATAATACTGAACACACCACTACAGTGGTATGTGCTTGCAGCTTCTATAGACGAGACTCTACCTAAAGAGCCAGCCAAAAATTGTATTTTCACAAGCAGTTGCCTTGTTTCTGATCATCTGCCCCACTCCCTTCCCACATATTTAAAGCCTCCTCCTTAGCAGCTGTGTGTGTGTAAGTCAGAAAAAGGCATACCAGGTGGCTTTACTTGTAGCCAGATGGGGGAATGACTGCAGGAAGGGCAGCAATATGGTGAGGTTAAATCCACACGGGTTTATATGAAGTGCTGTCTGGATAGACGACAGGGGTCCAAATGTTAACCTTTCAATTGGCAGGACTCAGCGCAGAAGGAAAATGGGGGTGATGTCATCAAGCTATCTCACCAAATGGGGTGGACTGTCTCAGAGCAAGTATTACTGGACTGGTGGAAGCTGTGCTGGGTTAGGTCCTTTAACAAAATGAAATAAATTAAACAAAAACTGTTGGCACAGTAATATGTTTGTGAATGATTGTCTCATCCTAATTAAAATGCATAAAGCTAATGCTAGCCTTAAAGGAAATGCAAGGCATATTATTACAAATGACAATTGTGACTCCCTACAGTGGCAGCTGGTGCCTTCTGTGTCAGTGTAATGAATCCATTCTGGGTTTTAGTTTGAACTTCAAAGCAGTGCTGGAACCTAACCACGAAATAGGTTCAACACCTTGGAGAGCTCCTTTAAAGCTCAGGCAAAATTAGAGAATGCATTCACAGCCCCACAGGTGTCTCATCCAAAAGCTAATTATTTGACTAAAACCAAAGGGCTGTTTCTAACCTACACAGGTGTGAAAGTAACCAAGAACACAATTGGCATTGATGGCTGGGGGAGGTTTGGATCTGGAAGAATTCCACACATTTGCTAAGGACTTTGCCAAGCCAATCCTGAGAGGAAATTCAATGGGTGGGGTGGAGGAAGGACCAGCTATTGTGGAATCCCCTTTTCCACTCACAAAGAGCTCTGTGGTTAGAAAGCAATGCCTAGTGGCTCGCTGCTGCCACTGAGATTATAGATGCTGAAAAGAGATGTTCCATGGATGAGGTAGAGCCAGCTTTGGATCCACTAGATCAGTGGTTCCCAACCTGTGGTCCATGGTCTGCAAGAACTAAAATATGATCTGCGGCCTTACCGTTACTACACCATTGCAACGAGAGCGACTAGTCTCACGAAACCCTCTTATAGTGCCGAAGCTTATTAAATATGGTTTTCTGTAGGTGGGCAGATGGCAACTACTGGATGGCATATGTTCTGTATCAGAAATTAGAGCTGATGTGGTCTATCCAATGCAATTTTCTGAATCAACACCCCAAATAATCACATTATTATTATTATTATTATTATTATTATTATTATTTGTACCCTGTCTCTTCTCTACCCCTGAAGGGGGATTCAGGGCGGCTTACATTAGTAACAGTACAAGGCTGCTACATCACAATTACAATAATATAAACACAATCAAATACAAAACAGTCATTAAAACCAGTACATGTAGCATTAATTAAAGCAATAAAACAAAATCACAATGTCATCTGCCGCAACGCCATTCCAGTCAATGTCCACTAAAGTGCAAATTACATCTGCTGCCCAAAGGCCTGGTCCAAAAACTATGACTAAATCTAAAGTTGACCAAAAACTGATTCTTAACCCTTTTGGCACTAATGTTGGAGAGTGGTCCCTGGTCAAAGTGGTCCCTGGTCAAAAAGAGGTTGGGAACCACTGCACTAGATCATTTGGCTTTACCAGTCTGAAATCTCTTGTTGTTTTAAGAAAGAGATGGGAATGTGGGGAGCTACCATAGACTTATTTTTATAACTTTTAATCCCATCTTTTTTCCAGCCTGGAACCCAAGCTAATCAAAGACACAATATTATGCTATCTATAGTCAGACCAGTGGTCCTTGATGGTCTTTGCCCAAAACTGACCGAAACAAACCTGACCTTGTTTAGCTTCAGAAATGTCAGGGCTGCATATTTTCATGCTAGTGAGCTGATGTGGGCATGGGGGAAGAGGTTGTGTGTGTGTCTTCAAGTTGTTTCTGACTTATGGAAACCCTAAGGCAAAACTAGCACACAGCATTCTCTGAAGGAAAGAGTATGACTCACCCAAGGTCACCCAATGGATTTCCATAGCCAGACAGGAAATCGAACCATCGTCTCCAGAGTCATAGTGCAATGCACAAACCACCCACACTTAAGATTACTCTATAAACATAATTGTGCCACAAACTTTCATGAGCTATATCCCATTTGGTCACTGGTCCATAGTGTCAGACTGCTGTCAGGATATCCATGTATATTACCCATATATGCATTCAGTCAAAAAGGTCTGTGAACAGTGATATCAACAGCCATGAAACAGCAGGAGATAAACCATAGGTGCATCCTTAATAAGATGGAATGAGGAAAGCGCACCTCAGGCAGTAGATCGAAGTAGTCATGAAATGGGTTGCTTTGAGTTTTCTAGTTTGTATGGCAACATACATTATCTCCTGATGTTTTGCCCACATTTATGGCAGGCATCCTCAGAGGTTGAGGGGTCTGTTGGAAACTAGGCAAGCAAGGTTTATATATCTGTGGAATGTCCAGGATGGAAGACAGAACTCTTGTCTATTTGAGGCAAGTGTGGATGTTGCAATGGGCCACCTTGATTAGCATTCAGTGGCCTTGCAGCTTCAAATCCTGGCTGGCTACTGCCTGGAGGAATCCTTTGTTGGGAGGTGTTAGATGGCCCTGTTTTATTCATGTCAGGAATTCCCCTGGTTTTTTATTGTTGCTCTCTATTTACTGTCCTGATTTTCGAATTTTTTAAAATACTGGTCACCAGATTATGTTCATTTTTATGGTTTCCTCCTTTCTGTTGAAATTGTCCACATGCTTGTGGATTTCAATGTATTCTCTGTGAGGTCTGACAAGGTAGTTGTTAGAATAGTCCAGTGAGGCCATGAAATGCTAATCATGAAATGGCAGAAAATGTTTAGTTGTTCTGATTTGTTATTACTTTATTATTACTTTATTTCTCTTCCAAGGAGAAGGAAGAGGCACTAATGTTTTTCCCCTCCTCCTTGTTGTTATTGTGTACCTTCAAGTCATTTCCAACTTATGACTACCCTAAGGTAAATGTATCATGGGCTTGTCTTGGCAAGATTTGTTCAGAAGTGGGGGCTGACTTTGCCTTGCCCTGAAGCTGAGAGAATGGGTTCCCTTGGCCACACAGGGAGTCAAACCTTGATGTCTGGAGTTTTAGTTCAATGCTCAAACCACTCCATCACACTGGCTTTCGTATCCAGAAAGAACCTGGCTGCCAGGCATTCTATGCATCGAAAGAAAGGGTGTGCCACTTCCTGCTCTGTCTCAGTGAGACAATCTCTCGGGCCAATTCTGGGTAAAATGATATCCAACTGCTAAGTTGGAATAGGAACAGATGGTTGGACCTGATGCTGGATAGATCCAGAGCAGTTCACAAAACGTAGTTGCTTTCAGTGCCATTTGCTAGATGATACATTTGTGTGTCAAGTTAGCAGATCACAACACATTGTCATGGAGCCTCCCTCCATTCAAAACCTTCATCTTAGCTACTTCATTTCGCCTTAAAGCTGAAGAATTTGAAACTCGTATTAGTTAAACTGGTGCAACTTATGTCCTCTACACTGGATGAAGTCCATCTGTCAAGTGCTTTGGCTCCTAAAGCTCGGGGCTGATCCCTTAATTCCTTAGCTATCCCAAAAGGAAACAAATTGCAATTGTGCACCTTCACCTCATCTCTGGCTTAAGGCGACTCTGGGGTTTATTTATCCTTCCAAACACAGGTGGGCTGCCGAACAAAGCAGGTGGGCTCAGTTCAGCTTGACAAGTCACAGGTTACAATACAGCCAAACGAAACATAAAATCTTGGGGCATGTGTGTGTGTGTGTGTGTGTATTCACCCTCTTTGCTTTCTCTGCCTTAAGAGCTGTACTGCCTTGATGCTCTCTGCCAATAAATAACTTAACTGCTACTGCATGCAGCTCCTGTCTGCAGAAATGTCTCGAAAATGGCTTAAGGAGCAGAAGTAAACACACCAAAAAGGACACCCACACACCAGGAACCAGTGATCTCTTTTCCCTACAGCTCTAAAGAAGAGAGAGGAAGGGAAAGAGAGAGAAAGAGGAAAAGAGGCAGTGCAGGACCCACAAAGCCAACTCTGCCTGGATTGAGTCTTTCTCCTGACCTCTTATAGTTCAGGTGCAAAGGTCTCTCTCTCTCTCTCTCTCTAGAAGTATTGGGAGGCTTGGAGCTCCCACTCCAGACTCCCGACACTTCTTTTCTGTGGCCCCCATCAAAGCACAAATACCTTTGAATAACTCCCCTCTTCTCCTGTTTCTCTCCAAGCTGTTAAAGGGATATGCCCTGCCTGCCCACCTCCTTCTCCTTCTGGGCAGTGCCTGCCAACTCCTTGCTCCATCTCCCGAGCCTGGCTCTCCTCCCCAGCAAACCCTTCTGGGCTCACTGATGTCACCACCTGAACCCACAAACACGTTCCCCCCGCTCTTCCCACGGGAGCACCAACCTTGGAAAGTTCTCTGAAGGATCCAAGGAGAGAGAAATTGGGGGAGAGGAGAGAGGGATGAAGAAGGGAAGCCCCGGGATTCTCCCAGCCTGTTTCTCCCAAATGTTCAGGAGGAGGAGGAGCAGCAGCAGCAGAAAGGCCACCCCTTCGCCTACCTTCGGGCGGAGAGCGGAGGGGGCCGCACGTGTCGGTGCGCGGCGTGGCTGCGCGGGGAGAGCCCCGGGATCCTGGAAGCAGGCGCAAAGGCAGGAGCCACCGCCTTGCCTGCTCTTGCTGCCCTCCTTCCGCCGGTGAGCCTTCTTCCCTGCTGATGCTGATGGTGATGCTGCTGCTGCTGCTGCTGCTGCTATTCCGCCGCTTGCGCGCCCGCCGCCAGCCACTGCGGCATCTCTGCATTCGGATGTGCTCCTCCCTGCCCCTCCCTCTCTCCCTCCCTCCCTCCCTCCCTCCCCCCCTCCCCCTCCCCCTGCGCGCGCGCGCCCTCCCTCCCTCCCTCCAGAGAGGGGTTCCCGCCTCCCCCCCCCCACTTCCCTTCCCAATCCGCCTTTTTACCTCATTTGCCAGGACCAGTCAGAGACTTGCAGCAGCATCCATAATTCAGAGTCTCTCCCCACTCAGCTGCTTTTAGCGCTCCAGCGAGACAGCATCTCCCCCGCCACACTTTGTGGAATTGGGGCTGCCTGGCTGTCTTGGGCTGTCTCTCTCCCTCTCTCTCTCCCACCCCCTTTCAGTCTCTTCCTTAGGCACGAAAGTATTGCGAATATGATTTTTAGGTTCTATCTCATAAGGTGTACAGCAGTACTTCCCAACCTTTTGTTGGCCAGGGACCACTTGGACCAGGGCCCACTTGACTGGGGACCACTTGGACCAGGGCCTACTTTTACCAGGGACTACTTGACCAGGGCCCACTTGGACAAGGGCCTACTTTTACCAGAGACTGCTTGGACCAGGGCCCACTTGGACCGGGGACCACTTGGACCAAGGTCCACTTGGACCAGGGCCTATATAACCAGAGACCACATGGAACGGGGACCACTTGGACTTGGACCAGGGCCTATATGACTAGGGACCACTTGGACTAGGGCCTAGTTGACTAAGGCCCACATAGACCAGGGACCACTTGGACCAGGGTCCACCTGACCAGGGCCCACTTGGACCAGGGCCTACTTTTGCCAGGGACCACTTGGACCAGGGACCACTTGAATGGGGACCACTTTGACTAGGGACCACTTTCCAATATTAGTACCAAAAGGGGTGAGGCTGGTCATCTCTGTGGAAAAGAGCAGAAATAAAGTAAATAAAATAAAATAAATAAAGAGGAAGGAGGTTAACAGACCAGATTTTCTTTCTCGCAACCCACTTCTGAGCCATGGGTCACAGGTTGAAAACCACTAGGTAAAGGAAAGAATTGGGGCTGCCTGGCTGTCTTGTGCTCTCTTTCTCTCTCCTCTCCTTCCAAGCTCTTCTTTATGCACAAAAGTATTGGCTTTCTCTCTCTTTCCCCCCCCCCCCCCCCCATCTTCCTTATGCACAAATGTATTGTGAATATCGTGTAGAAAATGACCTTAAGGTTGTATATAATAAGATTTGGGGCTGCCTGGCTGCCTTGGGTTCTTTCTCCTCCTTATTATGCACAAAAGTACTAAGAGTATTGTATATAAAATGACCCAACTGAGCTGCATAGGAAAGACTCAAGGAATAACAGCAGCAACAACAACAAAACAACAATTTATTTGTATACCGCCCTATCTCCCCAAAGGGACTCAGGGTGATTTCCAAACATTTAATTGCCAGAAATAAACCATACAAACAATTAGAACAAAATAAACGCATTCGACAATATGACACTACTTAACAAACAATATAACAATAGCTGAAAACATTATAAAATACAACAATTTCTACTCAAACATGCTAAAGATAAAAAATAATAAAAAAACCCATTTCATTATAGCTCCATCAAGGAAAGATTTGGAAAAACCAAACCAATGGGCAGGGTTACAGCTAGTCATTTATTTATTTTTATTTACAACATTTCTACCCCACTCTTCTTACCCCCACAGTGGGACTCAGAGTGGCAAACAATGGCAACAATTCGATGCTGCAATAATTACAATTATAATAGCAAAATAAAATCATACAATACAATAGATTAAAACAAACATTAGTTATACAATCGTAAAGTCATTTCCATTATAACAATTGTATGGTCCAATTCCATGTTCAGGTGCCATTATGTCCACTAGCCAAAAGCCTGGTCAGGGCCAATTATAAAGGGCTGGGCATGGGCTAGTGCAAACAGCAAGTCAAAGGGTTGGGGAAGTGGACAGAGTGCTACCTGGCTAACTGGGCCTGGGGACTAATCATTCTGGAAAACTTGTTGGACAATGTGGAGGCTGCCTGATCTCCTTGGGGAGGGAGTTTCAAAGTCTGGGGGGGGCACCACTGAGAAAGCCCTCTCCCTTATTGCCACCAATCACGCTTGTGACGGTGGCAAAAGAGAGAGGAGGGCCTCCCCAGCAGATCTTAGAGCCTGTGCCGGTTCATAGGGGGAGATGCGATTACAAAGATAGGCAGTGCCCGAATTGTTTAGGGCTTTGTAGGACTTAACCTGCAACTTGAATTGGGACTGGAAACTTATTGGCAGCCAGTGGAGATGCTTTAATAAGGGTGTCATACATTCCCTATGATTAGCTCCGGTTAAAAAGCACCGTTCATGGAATTGGGGCTGCCTGATTGTCCTAGACTCTCACTTTCTCCCCCTTAATCTTCTCCCTGGACACATAAATATTGAGAATATTGTGTATAGAATAACTCTTAGGTTATGTTCATAACAAGGAAAGATCAATGCCACTTTTTGCAAGATTGGTGCTGTCTATCTTGGACTTTCTCTCAATAGTCCTTATGGGCATCTACAAAAGTATTGACGATATTGTATACAAAATGACTTTCAGGCTATGTGTTGAATACATTGTATAGGAAAGGCTCAAGGAATTTGTGGAACTGGGGCTGCCTGACTGCCTTGGATCCCCCCTCCCCCCGAATGGGACCGATGAATTGGGTTGGACTAGGGTAAGGGGAATTTTCTCCCCTTTCTGCTTCTTTTTAATATTTTAGGCAATTCAAATTGGGAAAGGACCAGACTTGCACCCACCTTTTCTCGCCAGGCAAATGTTTGTTTCCACAATTGGGTGTATGGCACAGAATGTACCGTATATTCCGGCATATAAGACGACTGGGCGTATAAGACGAACCCCAACTTTTCCAGTTAAAATATAGAGTTAAGACAACTCCCATGCATAAGACTACACCCGCGTATAAGACGACCTCTGACTTTTGAGAAGATTTTCTTGGGTTAAAAAGTAGTCTTATACGCCAGAATATACTGTAATTTGGCAGCAAGTGAGGGCCAGTAAAGGAGATGGATATCTGGCAGGAGTGGCTGCTTTAGTCATGGCCTCTGCTTTCCCCTCTCCCTCCCATGTTGTGGTCCTGCTGAAAAGCCAAAGGGACAATCTCATTAGGGAAAAGCAGCATCAATCTGTGAAATTTATTTTACCCAGTTGTTTTATGTCCTATCTCTTATAAACACAGGATAACCCAATTTTCTCTTCAGCCTCAGACTCAAATGCTCTGCTTTGCAAAATAGTGGAGGCTTCTCCCTGCTTCTTTTCTAAATTTTGGAGTCCATATCCAAAGTTTCTGAGCATATGCAGAGTGCATCATTCTTCACTGCTTCACTGAGTCACTACAACCACTCTCTATTCTTTTTGATTTATTAAAAAGAGATTAAGAATCTGGACTGCTTCTAAGCAGGTGAAATCCAATCTCCTGCTTTGTGAACTATTACAATCCCCATGACATATACCACTGGCAATATTGTGGCCAATGGGAGCAGTTGCTCAAAACATCTGGGAGCTGCAATTTGCCTCCCATGTGCCCAAGCCCTGCTGAAAGACAACTAGATAAAAAGTGTGTATTCAATATGAGACTTGTCTATTTCGGCCACCTAAATACCCTAAAGCAGACAAGGGCAAACTTTGGCCCTCCAGGAGTTTTGGACTTCAACTCCCACAATTCCTAACAGCTTCAGGCCTTCCTTTTTCCCCTCAGCCACTTCCTTTCCCCTCTCAGCTTTAAACAGCTGAGGCGGGAAAGGAAAGGGCCTGAGGCTGTTAGGAATTGTTGGAGTTGAAGTCCAAAACACTTGGAGGGCTGAAGTTTGCCCATGCCTGCTCTAAAGGCATCTGATTTCATCTAATCTTGAAAGCTAAGCAGGATCATCTCTGGTTTGTACTTGGATAGGGGACTGCCAGGCTATATTTCAGAGGAAGAAACTGGCAAAACCATTTCTGAATATTCCTTGGTTAAGAAAACCCTATGAAATTCATGAGATTGCCATAAGTGTCATAAGGTTCCAGCCCAGCTTACTTGTCTGAATGTATCTCCCTCTAAGACCCACCTTGGAGTTTAATATTGTTGGGAGAGTCCCTGCTTTTGATCATGTCACCCTCACAAGTGTGATTGGCGGGGACGGGAGACAGGGCCTTCTATGAAACCCACTCTCTAATGAAATCAGGTCGGCCTCTCCTATCTTTTAGGAAAACCTTAAATCATGGTTGTGGGACCAAGAATTTGAGCAGCAGACACAGCGATAATAATGTATATGACATATGTGACTGACAATGGACAGACCTCAGATTATGACTTTGGATTTAATTTGTTTAATTTTTAAACTAATGTTTATAATTTGATGTTTTAAACTTGAGTTTTAATTGTGATTTTATTACTATTGTAGTGTTTTAATTGTGATTGTTTGCTTGGCATCTAATGATTGCCAGTTGTGAGCTGCTCTAGGTTGTCCCCCCAAGGGTGAGAAGGACAAGATATAAATGTCTGAAATAAATAAATAAATAAATAAATTGAAAGCACATATACACTAACATGCCCGATTGGATTAATGGTGGCTATTGTTTTACCAATGCTCAAATTATAGGGAACAGGTAGAAAGAAACATTATCTTTTAAGCAGTTCCCTTAGCTATTGCTTGTAGCTATTATGGATATTAGAGTCCATATGCTTCTGTATGCCAGTTGTTGGAGAACACTCAAGAAAGCATATGTTATTGCATTCCTGTTTTGCTTTCGGTTTCCCAAAGGTAAGTGGTTGGCTGCTGTGGAAACAGAGCATTGGATTAGATAGAATTTTGGATTGCAGCAGACTCGTTCTTCTTATGTTTTAATAAGCTTCAAATGCCATGTTCAGCCCAAGGAGTTTCAGATGTTTCCTTCAGAATCACTTGTAGGGCCGCAGAATCAGCTTGAGGTAATGGTCTGCAATCATATCACAGCAGATTTCTAAAGCTGAAAAGATTCAACATTTTGTGACTAACATACCTAAAGAAATTATTTCAGAAT